TTACAACCAACCAAACACATTCTCCTAAACTTGCCGCTCTATTTAAGCTGCCAGGTCTGCCTGCCTCTGCCTCGCTATGCTGCTGCTGCTGTGTTCACTTGCTACTGCTGTGTTTCATGTTCCTGCTGCTGTGTTTCATGTTGCTGGTGTTCGCCTGCCCCCCCACCACCACCCCAGCTTCCACCCCAGCTTCCACCTGGAGGCTCGGGGGATAGTTTAATCATCACTCAATGTTCTTTGTTAATCTGTGGAGTGATGAGGCCCGAACCTAGACGCCAAACTCAAACTATATGCTGCTTATAATAAACATATTAAGAAACACGTGAGTTGTCTGACTGAACTGACGGAAACATAGAAGACAATATTTGACTTAATTTGTGAAATGGTGTTTGTTACGAATCTATGAACATGTGAAAAGAGAATCTGCAAGATACTATGGATACTATTTTGTATGTTAGCTTGTACCAGAGTGCAGCTCTTTGACCAGAGAGGACACGGTGTTGGTGATGGAGTCGGCTGCGACCAGAAGATCGTTCCTCAGGTTCCTTCTCGGGCCTGTGACAAGAAGATGGGAAAATAAGAGCTTCCTCAAAACTTCTTTACAAACTTTAAAACCATTTGGGACACATGTCTGATTTCTAACACATGTTGTTGCTTTAATTGAAATCTTCCACACATTGTTGAGATAATGTGAAGCATTGATGTTCCATGTTTACATTGTTAAACCGGATTTCGTTGACAAATCGGCTGCTTTTGTTCCTGTGAAGTGGTTTGAATTACAGGCTGTAGTTTTTGCAGCATGAACTGTTAATACGGGGAAACTAATGTGAAACACTGGGTCTGAAACAACTGTTGCATTTGTGTTTGGAGCTGAGCAGAAATGTTATAACTCCATGGGGTGAACACAGCTGGAGTAACGACTCGACAATTGTTTTACGAATGAGCATTAACATTCCAACATGTCACACCTTTGCAAATAAAAAAAAGATAGAAATTCACAATTTAAAAAGTAATATTTCAGAGAAGCAGGTAAATAGAACATTTTCCAACTTGTAAAATATCCAGTTCGAGTTATGACAACTACAGGTTTAGTCAGAGACATTTTTGAGCTGACCAGAAATCTGTAAGACGTGTTGGATCCTATCTGCAAGAAACATCTCCCCTACGTGTTTTAAAGAGGACTCAGTTTGAACTCTGTCGTAAATAGCTTTAACTAAACCAAACGCCATTAGATATGTATGTCACTTGAGGACAAGAAGACCATTTAAAAGTATTAAATAATGGTCGTTTTTTTACACTGCTGTAATTTCCAGACTTACCTTGGGCGAATGCTTCTTGTACGTCACCGCCCACCCCAGCGAGTGAGTCTTGAGGATGGTACATGTGAGCGTGGGGGGACGCAGCAGCTACGGAGCGCACTGTGGAAGGGCTCGGTCGAGAAGGAGAGGCGTGAGAAGAGCCAGCCGCCTGCGCCTGAAACATCGATTTAGAAAAGGGTTCGTTACACTTCATTTATGGATTCCAGAAACATCTCACTTGTCATTTTTGTTGCAGCTGACATCACTTTTACAATGCAGTTTAAGTTCTGGTTACAGGTGGAAAAAGGTGAACTAATATGTGACCTGCTCCATCGAAATCAGTCGCATTGACCCGAAGACACATTTTGAGTTGTATACACTGTTGGAAAGAGGAGATTTCTAGCTTTCTAATGATATCAGGATTGTTGTTGTGCTCCAAATATTAAGCGAAATATGTCACATTCTATAATGACTGTCACCGAGTCATCATTTTGAGAAAAAGGCCTTTTTCCTCTTCTCTGGAATCCATCGATCTGATTGGTTATTAGCAAATGATCAAAATACGACAGAGGGAATATATTTTCGTTTGGATCACTGGTCTGGGGGAAGCTCGCGAGTGTGTGTGTGTGTATATGTGTGTGTGTGTTTGCGTTTGTGTGTATTGCTTTTGTTTCCCGGGGAAACCCCTCACAAGAAACACCGGCTGTTCATATGCCTGCTGTGACGTTAAGTTACTCCGTTCTCCGACTGTAATTATGCCGATACAAGCTTCAAAGTTGTATTTATCATCTGAATTTACCGAACCAAGTTTAATATTCTGAAAGATTTTGTATAATTGAAATCAGATGAAAACAAACTGTAACGGACCCTGCCGTGTTATTTAT